CACATACACATACACACATACACATACAAACATGCACACATACACATACACATACACACATACACACATACACATACACACACACATACACACATACACATACACACATACAGACATACAAACATACACACATATACGCATACACACATACACACATACTCGTAAACACATACGCATATACATGCACACATACTTACGCAGGACGAAAGATTTTCCTCTTGAGGTGCAAATGGCCACGAGGAGTTCGCAAGACAACGTCGGCGCCGGAACGGACGGCGACCAGACGAGCTGTTTGCAGCAACCGGGGTGAGAGGGATGTATGTATTCATTTCGAATGGGGCCCGCGCGCGCGGGGAGCTGATGGGCGTGCGCGAGACGACGCAACGCCCGTCGTGGAGAGTTAATTACCGAACCCCCCATCCCCCGTATAATCTTAACACGGGCGGTTTGCGGGGTCCGCGGATCCGATTTCTTCCGGCTCCCTGTTTTAATATAATAATATTAATTTTAAACAGGGTAGAAATAGGATCCGCCGTGAAAAATAAGACCGAACACGGATCCAGCAAATCCGAAATCGGATCCTCGCGGACAGAAATCGGATCCACCGAAACACACACCAAAACTAAAATTGGATCCGCGCGGCCGCCATTGGATCCGACGGCGGGTATCCCACGCGCGTCTGCTTCAGACTTCGAACCTTCGTTCCGGGCCCAAGAGGAAAAAACTTTCATCCTGGGGATGAGCGTTTTGGCCTTCGGACACGTTGGTTGCCACGTTGTCCACGCACCACACGTCACCACAAATTCCCCGCAACGATCCTGCTCGAGACGTCCTCGCAACACTCGGAAGAAGACTCCCACGTTCGGCGGCGACCGCGCGAACTTCATTGGAGTTGCGACGACGGAGCCCGCGCCGAGCGCGGGGCGCCACCTCGTCGCGGGAGAGAGCGCAGAGGCCGCCCGTTGGGTCCGGAGACGCAGGGCCGATTTTCATTGGAGTTGCGACGACGGAGCCCGCGCCGAGCGCGGGGCGCCGCCTCGTCGCGGGAGAGAGCGCAGAGGCCGTCTGTTGGGTCCGGAGACGCAGGGCCGAACCGAATTGGAGTTGCGACGACGGAGCCCGCGCCGAGCGCGGGGCGCCGCCTCGTCGCGGGAGAGAGCGCAGAGGCCGTCCGCTTGGTCAGGAGACGCAGGGCCGAACCGCACTGAGCGTTTTGGCCTTCGGACACGTTGGTTGCCACGTTGTCCACGCACCACACGTCACCACAAATTCCCCGCAACGATCCTGCTCGAGACGTCCTCGCAACACTCGGAAGAAGACTCCCACGTTCGGCGGCGACCGCGCGAACTTCATTGGAGTTGCGACGACGGAGCCCGCGCCGAGCGCGGGGCGCCACCTCGTCGCGGGAGAGAGCGCAGAGGCCGCCCGTTGGGTCCGGAGACGCAGGGCCGATTTTCATTGGAGTTGCGACGACGGAGCCCGCGCCGAGCGCGGGGCGCCGCCTCGTCGCGGGAGAGAGCGCAGAGGCCGTCCGTTGGGTCCGGAGACGCAGGGCCGAACCGAATTGGAGTTGCGACGACGGAGCCCGCGCCGAGCGCGGGGCGCCGCCTCGTCGCGGGAGAGAGCGCAGAGGCCGTCCGCTTGGTCAGGAGACGCAGGGCCGAACCGCACTGAGCGTTTTGGCCTTCGGACACGTTGGTTGCCACGTTGTCCACGCACCACACGTCACCACAAATTCCCCGCAACGATCCTGCTCGAGACGTCCTCGCAACACTCGGAAGAAGACTCCCACGTTCGGCGGCGACCGCGCGAACTTGATTGGAGTTGCGACGACGGAGCCCGCGCCGAGCGCGGGGCGCCACCTCGTCGCGGGAGAGAGCGCACAGGCCGCCCGTTGGGTCCGGAGACGCAGGGCCGATTTTCATTGGAGTTGCGACGACGGAGCCCGCGCCGAGCGCGGGGCGCCGCCTCGTCGCGGGAGAGAGCGCAGAGGCCGTCCGTTGGGTCCGGAGACGCAGGGCCGATTTTCATTGGAGTTGCGACGACGGAGCCCGCGCCGAGCGCGGGGCGCCGCCTCGTCGCGGGAGAGAGCGCAGAGGCCGTCCGTTGGGTCAGGAGACGCAGGGCCGAACCGCACTGAGCGTTTTGGCCTTCGGACACGTTGGTTGCCACGTTGTCCACGCACCACACGTCACCACCCATTCCCCGCAACGATCCTGCTCGAGACGTCCTCGCAACACTCGGAAGAAGACTCCCGCGTTTGGCGGCGACCGCGCGAACTTCATTGGAGTTGCGACGACGGAGCCCGCGCCGAGCGCGGGGCGCCACCTCGTCGCGGGAGAGAGCGCAGAGGCCGCCCGTTGGGTCCGGAGACGCAGGGCCGATTTTCATTGGAGTTGCGACGACGGAGCCCTCGCCGAGCGCGGGGCGCCGCCTCGTCGGGGGAGAGAGCGCAGAGGCCGTCTGTTGGGTCCGGAGACGCAGGGCCGAACCGAATTGTAGTTGCGACGACGGAGCCCGCGCCGAGCGCGGGGCGCCGCCTCGTCGCGGGAGAGAGCGCAGAGGCCGTCCGTTGGGTCAGGAGACGCAGGGCCGAACCGCACTGAGCGTTTTGGCCTTCGGACACGTTGGTTGCCACGTTGTCCACGCACCACACGTCACCACAAACTCCCCGCAACGATCCTGCTCGAGACGTCCTCGCAACACTCGGAAGAAGACTCCCACGTTCGGCGGCGACCGCGCGAACTTCATTGGAGTTGCGACGACGGAGCCCGCGCCGAGCGCGGGGCGCCACCTCGTCGCGGGAGAGAGCGCAGAGGCCGCCCGTTGGGTCCGGAGACGCAGGGCCGAACCGCACTGAGCGTTTTGGCCTTCGGACACGTTGGTTGCCACGTTGTCCACGCACCACACGTCACCACAAATTCCCCGCAACGATCCTGCTCGAGACGTCCTCGCAACACTCGGAAGAAGGCTCCCACGTTCGGCGGCGACCGCGCGAACTTCATTGGAGTTGCGACGACGGAGCCCGCGCCGAGCGCGGGGCGCCGCCTCGTCGCGGGAGAGAGCGCAGAGGCCGTCCGTTGGGTCCGGAGACGCAGGACCGAACCGAATTGGAGTTGCGACGACGGAGCCCGCGCCGAGCGCGGGGCGCCGCCTCGTCGCGGGAGAGAGCGCAGAGGCCGTCCGTTGGGTCAGGAGACGCAGGGCCGAACCGCACTGAGCGTTTTGGCCTTCGGACACGTTGGTTGCCACGTTGTCCACGCACCACACGTCACCACAAACTCCCCGCAACGATCCTGCTCGAGACGTCCTCGCAACACTCGGAAGAAGACTCCCACGTTCGGCGGCGACCGCGCGAACTTCATTGGAGTTGTGACGACGGAGCCCGCGCCGAGCGCGGGGCGCCACCTCGTCGCGGGAGAGAACGCAGAGGCCGCCCGTTGTGTCCGGAGACGCAGGGCCGATATTTATTGGAGTTGCGACGACGGGGCCCGCGCCGGGCGCGGGGCGCCGCCTCGTCGCGGGAGAGAGCGCAGAGGCCGTCCGTTGGGTCCGGAGACGCAGGGCCGAACCGAATTGGAGTTGCGACGACGGAGCCCGCGCCGAGCGCGGGGCGCCGCCTCGTCGCGGGAGAGAGCGCAGAGGCCGTCCGTTGGGTCAGGAGACGCAGGGCCGAACCGCACTTACGCAGGACGAAATATTTTCCTCTTGAGGTGCAAATGGCCACGAGGAGTTCGCAAGACAACGTCGGCGCCGGAACGGACGGCGACCAGACGAACTGTTTGCAGCAACCGGGGTGAGAGGGATGTATGTATTCATTTCGAATGGGGCCCGCGCGCGCGGGGAGCTGATGGGCGTGCGCGAGACGACGCAACGCCCGTCGTGGAGAGTTAATTACCGAACCCCCCATCCCCCGTATAATCTTAACACGGGCGGTTTGCGGGGTCCGCGGATCCGATTTCTTCCGGCTCCCTGTTTTAATTTAGTAGTATAAATTTGAAACAGGGTAGAAATAGGATCCGCCGTGAAAAATAAGATCGAACACGGATCCAGCAAATCCGAAATCGGATCCGCGCGGACAGAATTCGGATCCACCGAAACACACACCAAAACTAAAATTGGATCCGCGCGACCGCCATTGGATCCGACGGCGGGTATCCCACGCGCGTTTGCTTCAGACTTCGAACCTTCGTTCCTGGCCCAAGAGGAAAACTTTCGTCCTGGGGATGTACGTATACACATACACATACACATACACATACACATACACACACACATACACATACACATACACATACACATACACATACACATACACATACACATACACATACACATACACATACACATACACATACACATACAAACATACACATATACACATATACACATACACACACATACACATACACATACAACTACACATACACATACACATACACATGCACACGCGCTAAATCTCAGTTGGGCATTGGCCCAAACAGTCATGCTGGTCCTGAATCCCCCTGCCGGTCCCCCTCGTCCTCCTCATCCCCTCATCCTCCCCGTCTTCTGTTTCCTTCTCGTCCTCACCCTGTCCCCGTCGTCATCGTCGTCCTCCTCCTGCTGCTCATCCATCCCTTCGTCCTGCTCACCCCCTCCCCCTCTTCCTTGTGTCTCTCTCATCCCTTCCTCCTCCCCCTCCTCCTCCCTCCTCCTCCTCCCTCCTCCTCCTCCCTCCCTCCCTCCTCCTCCTCCTCCTCCTCCTCCTCCTCCTCCTGCTCCTCCTTCCTGCTCCTCCTCCTCCTCCTCCTCCTCCTCCCCCTCCCCCTCCTCCCTCCTCCTCGTCCTTCTCCTCCACCTATTACTGTTCGTTCTTCTCCTCCTCGTCGCTGTTCTCCGCCTACTCCTGGTCGTCTTCATTCTCCTCTTCATCCTCCTCCTCCTCCCCCTCCTTCTCCTCGTCGTTCTCCCGCTCACCGTCGTTTTTCACCTCCTCATCCTCCTGCTCCCTTGTCGAGGACTCGGTTGTGGACGCCATCCTGATCACATGGCTCCCGGGACAGCAGAATGGCAGGGGCGTCGCCATGGCGCTGTACGGGCACGGCCACGCGGCCTCGGGTCGGCTGCCCTTCACCTTCCCGAAGTGCTCCACACAGGCCCCACACCGGTGAGGGCAGGGGAGGACAGGAGGGAGAAGGGGGAGGAGGAGGAGGAGGAGAGGGAGAAATATACCCCCTTCCAACCCTCTCCATTCCCTCCGCTCTCTCCAGCCCCTTCCAACTCCCTCCAACTCCCTCGAACCCCATCCAACCCCCTCCGGTCCCCTCCAGCTCCCTCCAACTTCCTTTCGACCCCCCTCCAACCCCGTTCCAGCCCCCTCCATACGCCTAGAGTTCCCTCGAACCCCCTTCCGCCCCCTCGGAGCCCCAGTCTTTCGAATCCTCTCCAAGACCCTCCAGCCCCCTCAAACCGCTTCCAGCTCTCTCGAACCCCCTTCCAACCCCTTCAACCTCTTAGCCCCCTCCAACCTCCACCAGCGCCCTCCAAACCCCATCCAACTTTCTCCCACTCCCCCCAGGCCCCTCCAACCATCTCCAAGCCTCCCCCCCCCACCCCCCTCCAACCCGATCCAACCCCTTCCATCCCTCTCCGACCTCTTCCAGCCCCCATCCAACCCAGTCCAACCCCCTCAATCCCCCACACTCCCCCTCAATCCCCCTCAACCCCCTCTTGCCCACTCCAATTTCCTCCAACCCTCTCGAACACCGTCCAACCCCCTCTAGCCCCCCACAACCGACTCCAGCTCCGTCGAGCCCCCTCCGACCCCCTCCAGCCTTCTCCAAACCCTTCCGAATCCCTCCAGCTCTTGCACATCTCCAGCTCTCTCCAACCCTTTCCAACCCCCTCGACCCGCCTACCCTACCTCTTCCACCGCCCTCCACACCGGCCCAAATCCCTCCATCCTCCTTTCCGACCCCCTGCAGCCCCTTTCAACTCCCCCTCCATTTCCTTCGAGCCCTCTCCAACCGCCTCCAGCCCTCTCCGGCTTCTTCCACTTCCTGTCGGCCCCTGTTCCAACCCCTGTTCCCATACGCCCACAGTTTCCTCGCACCCCCTCCAGCCCCCTCGAAGCCCCAGTCTCTCGAACCCTCTCCAAGACCCTCCAAACCCTCCAACCGCCTCCAGCTCTCCCTCGAACCCCTCTCCAACCCCTTTCCCGCCCCCTCCAACTCCCTCCAATCCCCTCGAATTTCTTCCAACCCCCTCGAGTCCTCTGTGCCCGCCTCCAGCTCCCTCGAACCCCCATCCAACTCCCTCGAGCCCCCTCGAACCCCCAGCCCCTCCAACCGCCTCGAAGACCCTTCAAACCCCTCCAACCGCCTCCAGTTTCCTCGCATCGCCCCTGCCCCCCTGCAGCCCACTCCAATCCCCTCCAACTCCCTCCAGGCTTTGCACTCCTCCACCTTTCTCCAACCCCCTCCAGCCCTCTCCACTTCCTCCACTCCTCCCAGCCCCTCCCCCCCCGCCAACCCTCCTGCCCTTCCGAGAGGACGGATGGAAGGAAGCCCAAGGGGGGGAAGGAGGAGGATGGATCACGAGAGAGATTAGCAGGAGAGGGGGCTAGGAGCAGAAACCATGTGGCAGAACCAGACGGGCAGATCGGGCGGATAGACCCTAACGAGCGGGTCGGGAAAGCGGGCCCAGGCGACCAGGTCGAGCAGGCGGGTTGCTGAAGCGTGCGTCCTTCATGAGTCGCTAGGAAGTCTCGAGCGATAGCGCGATTCCCAAATGAATCGTGAGGCATTCCGCAGGGAGAGCGTGATTCCTGAGTGTCGAGGGCGCGGAGTCTGAATACATACGCGAAAGCGCGATTCCTGCATACATTGAGGGGAAGTCCCGCGCGAGAGCGCGATTTGGGAATACATTGTGTAGAAGTATCTGGCGGGAGCCGTTGTTGTTGAACTTTCACTCTTGAAGAATAAGTGTTGTTGATCTCCCCCTTCCGCTGAGCATGGTGTTTTTAATTGAAGTGCGTCCCACGGGGCTCGCACCCTGTTTCTGATCAGGGAAAGTCACTAAGCTCAAACTGGGCTGTTGGCCCCCGGATTACAACAACGGCTCCCGCCTGAGACTTCCTCCCAATTTAGCGAAGACCCCCGCTCCCGCCAGAGACTTCCTCGCATTTTACTCAGGAGTCGCGCTTTCGCCTGGGACTTCCGCACAATGTATACGGGAATCGCTCTCTCGGCGCTCTGGAGTCGCGCTCTCGCTGGAGACTCGCTTGCAATTACTCCAGAATCGCGCTCCGCTCTTGCGCTGGATTTCCCCGCAATTTATTAAAGCGCCGCGCCCCCGACACTCAGGCACCCAGGAGTCGCGCTCACGCTTAGGACTCCCTCGCAGCTTACCGAGGAATCGGGATCGCGCTGCCCTTCGTGGCCACGTTGCAGCCCTTCGTGGCTCCCTCGCTGCCCTTCGTGGCCCCGTTACTGCCCTTCTTGGCCCCCGTTCGTTCGCGCCCGTCGTGGCTCCATATGCATGCCCTTCGTGGCCCCGCTGTCGCCCTTGGTGGCCCCCTTGCTGCCCTCTGTGGTCCCGTCGCTGCCCTCAGTGGCCCTGTCCTTGCCATCTGCGGCCCAACATACGTATGCCCTTCGTGGCCCCCGCTCGTTCGCGCCCGTCGTGGCCCCAGATTCATGCCCTTCGTGGCCCCGCTGTCGCCTTTCGTGGCTCCCTCGCTGCCATTTGTGGCCCCGTTTCTGCCCTTCGTGGCCCCCGCTCGTTCGCGCCCGTCGTGGCTCCATATGCATGCCCGTCGTGGCCCCGCTGTCGCCCTTGGTGGCCCCCTCGCTGCCCTTCGTTGTCCCGTCGCTGCCCTCAGTGGCCCTGTCCTTGCCCTCTGTGGCCCAACATACGTATGCCCTTCGTGGCCCCCGCTCGTTCGTGCCCGTCGTGGCCCTATGTGCATGCCCTTCGTGGCCCCGCTGTTGCCCTTCGTGGCCCCCTCGCTGCTCTACGTGGCCCCGTTGCTACCCTCAGTGGCCGCGTCGTTGCCCTTCTGTGGCCCCGCATTGTCTGCCCTTCGTGGCCCCCGCTCGTTCGCGCCATTCGTGACCCCATACGCATGCCCTTCGTGGCCCCGCTGTCACCCTTCGTCGCCCCCTCGCTGCCCTTCGTGGTCCCATCACTGCCCATCGTGTCCCCGCTGTCGCTCTCGCTCGCGCTCTCGCTCGCGCTTTCGCTCGTCGTCGTCGTCGTCGTCGTCGTTGCCGTCAACGTGGTCGGTCCCCTGTCCGTCCCTCTTGGGGTCGGGCTGCTGCCGGTCAACGCTGCCGCTGGCCAGGCCGACGGTCCGCGGCAGCCCCGCCGCTTGCCCGGGCCTGGCCTGCAGGGAAGAAAGGCCTATCCCCCCAAGGGGGTACTTTCGAAGACGAAGAGGGCGGGTATCGAGGGTTCGGGAAATACGCGTTGAATGACACTCGAACAGATAAGAGCGAACAGTCTTGCAATGATCGTTGTTGCTGTTGCTGTTGCTGTTGCTGTTGCTGTTGTTGTTGTTGAACATTATTCCTTCTAAAGAATTATTATTGTTGGGACCCCTGGTGCGCGACCTCTGCGCCGCGCCTAGGCCGCAGCTACATTTTCATCATTTTTTCGCGAAAGCTTCAGAAAAGTGGATGAGCTCCGGATCCGGTTTTTTGTTGACGCTCGTTTTCCCTTGCAAAAAACAATAGAAAATGAAAATTCTTGTTCTTACTTGATCAAATTGCAAGAATCCCTTGCAAAAAATAAGGTAAAGTGGACATTCGCGCTCGCAAGACGAAATCCTTCCAAAACCTTAGGTTTCGTAACGATTTTAACATAAAAACATCAAAAACCCAATGGTTTTTTAAGAAAAAATTGTCAAAATGTCCTTCCGCGCGCTCTTGCGGATTCATAGGAAACACACCACTTTTTAAACATTTCTGTCAAAAGGGTCTTTGCGTGCTACTTCTTCAGGTGCTTTGAACTTCTCCAACAACGGTTGCGCGCCTGCGAGGGCCACCATCCCTTGCAAAAAATGAGACGAAGTGCACATGCGCGCGGCCGCCGCGCGCGCATGTCGAAATCCTGCCAAACACAATGGGTTTTCAATAATTTCAAGATGCGATGTTCAGAAAACATATGAAAACGCACTACTTTCTCATCCGAAAAATCTCGAAATCCATTCGCGGTCTCTTGATGAATCTTTAAAACCCAAGATGGCCCCAACAGGCGCGCAAGATGGCCCCAAGAGGCGTCCATGAGGCCCAAAGAGGCGCCCAAGATGGTCCCAAGAGGCTTCAAGAGGACTCCAAGAGGCCCCCAAGAGGTTCCAGAGAGGCTCCAAGGTGGCTCCAAGAGACCCCCAAGATGGCCCCAGGAGAGCGTTCTAGAGGCCCGTTCTTCCTTTCTCGCTTCTCTCCTTTCCTCCTTGTCCTGCTCCTCCTCCCCCTCTTCCGCCTTGGAGCCGTATTGGAACTGTCGATGGCCATCTCCCTTTCTCCCTCGCATGTCTGCTTGTACATACGTATAATTTCAGAACTTACCGTGCATGCGATCGTTTACAACATGGTGGACCGTGCGTATGTCACGAACCTTGTATACATGTGTTTCTCTCCCTCCGTCTGGCTGTGCACGCGCGCGTTGGGCACTGAGAGTTAGGATCATAGCGCCATGAGTCTATGAGCAATGCATGCGTCATCCTTGGGACTGTATAACATCAGTGTAACACATGTACTTCTGTAATCGCATCCCCACGAATTTGCCCCAAAAATGTGACCAACTATCTTGGCACTGCGTACCATCTCACGTGTACCGTGTACCACATCATATGTAACAGATGTGATCAACCTCTGTGGGTGTGTACCCCACGCCAGTGTAGTAGCCAGGGTCGTCCGCACGCCACGAAGTGAAGTGTCCCAACGTCATAGGGCGGGAAGCTGGGTGTGGGTGGTCTCGAAGAGTCGTTTGGATATTTGGTAGAGCTTGAACGGCCCCCCCACGAAGTGGGGGTATTGGCTGGTGTCGCAAGAAAACCCTGGCACTGGGGAGAACACTGAGCGTTCGGGTAAAATGATTGGTATTGTTGTTGTTGTTGTTGTTGTTGTTGTTGTTGTTGTTGTTGTTGTTGTTGTTGTTGTAATAAAGCGGGGACCAACAACCCAATTCTTAACTTTACGATTTTCCCTGCTCGAAACCCGGATGCGAGCCCCGGGAAGGGCACTTCAATTGAAAAACACAATGTGTCCCGGAGGGGGAAGTGGATCAACAATAATGATTCTTGTGGCAAGGAAATTCAACAACGACAACAACAGCAGCTGCAACAACAACAACAACAACAACAGCACCACCACCAACGACACCACCACCGCCACGCATAGCAGCAGCAGCAATGCCAACAACGTTAACACCACCAGCATCAACAACAACAACAACAACAACCATTTTAAGGCTGTACGCTCTTACTTGCCCGCGAGTCATTCAACACGTATACCCTACACCCTCGATGCCCGCCCTCTTCGTCTTCGATCACACCCCTTTCGGGGGGATTATTTCTCTTTGCTGGGGCTGGCGGGCTTAGACGTACGGGCAAACCGGAACGGGCGGACAATCCTTCGGGGGCGTACATCTCTCTGCCCGCCATTGGAATTGGCGCGGGCCCTGCAAGAGGAGGAGGGGAAGAACGAGGGAGAGTGGGAGGAAGGGGAGGGGGAAGGACGAAGGAAGAGGGAAGATACCACGTTGTGAAGGCGTCCTTGGCGCGTGCGTGGTTCCTGAGCGCCGAAACGCAATTCCAGAATAATTTGTGAGGACGTCGCACGCGAGAGCGCAGTCCTGAGTACATTGTGAGGAAATCTCAGGCGGAAGCGGGGGCCCTGACTAAGTTGCGAGGAAGTCTCAAGCGGGAGCGCCGTTCCTGAGCAAATTGCACGGAAGTCTCAGGCGGGAGCGGGGGTCCTCACTAAATTGCGAGGAAGTCTCAGGCGGGAGCGCCGTTCCTGAGTCAATTGCGCGGAAATGTCAGGCAGGAGCGGGGGTCTTGAGTAAAATTCGAAGAGTCTCAGCGGGAGCGCCGTTCCCACGTAAATTGCACGGAAGTCTCAGGCGGGAGCGGGGGTCTTGATTACATTGCGAGGAAGTCTCAGACGGGAGCGCCTTTCCTGAGTAAATTGCGCGGAAGTCTCAGGCGGGAGCGGGGGTCCTGAGTAAAAATCGAGGAAGTCTCAGGCGGGAGCCGTTGTTGTTGTAGCCCGGGGGGCAGGGGCACAGTTTGAGCAGGAAGACTTTCCTTGAGAAAAAACAAGGTGCGAGCCCCGGGGGTGGCACTTCAATCGAAAAAAATCAATGTGCACCGGTGGGGGGGGATCAACAATAGTTATTCTTCAAGAATGAGAGTTCAACAACAACAATAACGACGACATCCGCGTCGCAGAACCTCATTTCAGCCACGCGCTCAGGGACAGTGAATGCCCGTTCGGCTCCCCCACTCTGAAAGTAGATGAGAGTGATGCGGAGGAGAGGAAACGATCGGGCGACGTGAAGTGGGACAAGGGAGAGTTCGCCGAGGTCTGCAGCAGGGAGGACGAGCTCGCGAGCGCAGCGCGCTCAGGGCTCTCCAGATCTGCAGTGGTCTCCACGAGAACGTGCCCAGATCGGCGATGATAAGGTGGCAGTCTCGACGTGTCGGAACGCTTCGAGGAGGGGGGACGGAGAGAAGGATTGAGTGGGGCAGGGATGGAGGGAACATAAGGAGGGTAAGGATGAGGATGGGGATGCGGAGATGGAGGAGGAGGAGGAGGAGGAGGAGGAGGAGGAGGAGGAGAAGCAGAAAATGAGGTCGGAGGAGGAGAAGGAGGCGGACGAAGAGGAGGAAGGCGGTGGAGGAGGAGGAGGAGGAGGAGGAGGAGGAGAGGGGGCTAAAGCAGAGGTAGTTAGGATGAGGAGGAGGAGGAGGATGATGAGGGAGGAGGAGGAGGAGAGAGGAGGAGGAGGAGGAAGGAGGAGGAGGAGGAGGAGGAGGAGGACCAGCAGCACCAGTGCGAATTGCAGGAGGAGGAAGGCGGAGGAAGAGAGGTGAGGAGGAGGAGGAGGGGGGAGGAGGAGGAGGAGGAGGAGGAGGAGGAGGAGGAGGAGGAGGAGAGAATGAGGATGAGGAGGAGGAGGAGGAGGAGGAGGAGGAGGAGGAGGATGATATGGAGCAATCTGCTCTGGGGGGGTCTCAGGAGATCCCTGGGACTCCCCCCCTCGGCTGTCCTTCGAGTCTCTTCGGCTCGGGAGGCGCCAGCTTCTCCCGCGCGCTGCGGGCGGCCCGTTCGCGGTGGTGGCGATCGGCCGCGCGGCCCTTCCCCAGCCGAGGTCGCGTTGGGCGACAAACTGTCCAACGGGGAGTACCTGAACTTCTCAGAGAAGGCCCCCCCGGCGGGCCTGCCCGCGGGGAAGGTCCCCGAGCGGCTGCCGCCCCCAGAGGATATGGCCGTCGCCACGATTCAGAAGCGCCGTGCCGCATCGAGCGAGAGGAGGAGGAGGAGGAGGAGGAGGAGGAGGAGGAGGAGGAGGGAGGAGGAGGAGGAGGAGGAGGAGAGGAGGAGGAGGAGGAGAGGAGGAGAGGGAGGAGGAGAATAGGAGGAGGAGGAGGAGGAGGAGGAGGAGGAGAGAGGAGGAGGAGGAGGAGGAGGAGGAGGAGCAATAGGAGGAGGAATACGAGGAGGAGGAGGAGAGGAGAGGAGGAGGAGGAGGAGGAATAGGAGGAATCTGAGGAGGAGGAGAGGAGTAGGAGGAGGAGGATGAGGAGGTGGATGATGGTGATGAGGAGGAGGAGGAGGAGGAGAGGAGAGGAGGGAGGAGGAGGCAGGAGGAGGGGAGGAGGAGGAGGAGGAGGCGGAGCGGAGGCGTGGGCGGAGGGGGGAGGAGGAGGGGAGGGAGGAGGAATACGAGGAAGAGGAGGAGGAAGAGAAGGATGTAAAGACGAGGAAGAGGAGGGGGATGCGGTGGGGAGGCGGGGAACTTCGCACCACGTGACGAAAGCCCTCTGCCTAACGCCGGCCATGCGCAAGAGTTCGAGAGGCCCGCGAGTCCTTGTCTTGCGGCACAAGTCAGGTCGCAGGAGGTCTGGGCAGCTCGAGTAGTGCACGTGCTGTCTTGCCTAGCCGAGGGCTGCCTTTTGCTGTCCTGGTGAGCCAATTTTCAACCGCCACTGCCATCGGTAGGACGGTGGAGAAGGGAGGATGGGCAGGTCCTCCTCCTCCTCCTCCTCCTCCTCCTCCTCCTCCTCCTCCTCCTCCTCCTCCTCCTCCTCCTCCTCCTCCTCCTCCTCCTCCTCCTCCTCCTCCTCCTCCTCCTCCCCCTCCTCCCCCCTGCTCTCGTACCTATGGTAGCGGCGGTGGAAAATTGGCCCATCACGTCTGGCCCCCGGCCTCTCTTCTGCAAGCCGAGCCGGGATCGCCGGTCGGCCGAGCAGGCCCGCACAGCCCGATCCTGAAGGGGGCAGCTCCCCTGCGGCAGGGGCTCCAGGCCGCCGGGCACGTGGCGCCTCCAGGCAGGCGGTGGTGCCCAGCGGGGTGGGGGGGGAGACGCCCTTCGGGGGTGGACAGACCTCCTACCCTGACACGTCGATTAGTGAATTGTCCGTTTTCGGTTTTCGTGAGGGCGCCGTGGCCGTCATTTTCCAGGCTTGCGCCCGCCAGGTTTGGGCCCGAGGGCGTTTTCACTAAACCACGTTTTACTAAAGGGAGGTCTGTCCATCCCCGAGCCCTGGGGAAGGCCGGGCCGACGACGGCGGACGCCTGGGCGGGAGGCCGGGGCCAGCGGGGCGAAGCACGCGGGCGGGCAGGCAGGGATGGACACACGACCGCGGGTGCACGGTGTACTGCAGCCGAGCATCTGATGAAGGAGCCTCCTCCCGAAGAGCATGGCCGGCGTTTCTTGGCCAACTTGCCGGAAAAAGCTGGCCCAGTTTCTCGAGCACGGGCGCCCCCTCCAGCGTCAAGAGCAGAAGTTAGCCCAGGCTTGTTGTAAGAAAGCTCTGGGAAGTTGGCCCAGATTTCCTAGATGGCCATTTTCTTGATCATATTTCCGGCTGTGGGAGGGCGGAGCTCCCGACGGAGGGCACCCTTTCCTCTCCCGCGCCCAGGAGCCGGGACCTCAGGGTGGGGGGTCGTTCTCCGCCCAGACTCCCCAGACCAGGCACGCCTGGGGGTACGCGTGCCTCGCCCCAGAGTGCTCCAGAGCGTGTTGGGGCTGTCTCGGCGGCTGGTGCATCTCTGCTGGACGCTGTCTTTCTCCCGCCCTCCTCGGTAGTCCCCACGCCCGGCGGTGAGCCTCGCGCGATTTGGCGTCACCACCCGGTTTGGGGACTCGTGCGGATGTTTCGAGGATGTCCCGAGCGCTGGTGGGCCCAGGAGTCACACACCCCGGTGGGGACCCCGTGCCCCCAAGCCCAGCGGTGACTTTTTGGGGATTCCTTGTCACCGCCTGATTCAGGAGAGGAAAAAACACACAGACACAATTAATCCTCGATTCCCAAGAAAATATGGGAAAATATGGGAAGTGGGGGGGAAGACAGAAACCCAGAAAATATGGGAAAATATGGGGAATCTTTTTATTTGTGTGTATTTATTTGTGTGTCCTGGGGCCCCTTCACTGATGCCTCACCACCTGGTTTTGGGGCTCCCGCCGTCCGCTGAGGCTCTTGTCCCCAGCCCGGCGACTCAGGAGCAGGGCAGCCTTGGCACGGCGAGGGGGCCTCTGAGCAAGGGCGCCCTTCCCCCCACACCTTTCAGGAGGGGAAAAACACACAGACACAATTCATCGTCGATTCCCCAGAAAATCTCCGAAAATATGGGAAGTGGGGGGGAAGACAAACCCCCCCCAAATATGGGACAATATGGGGGATCCTTTTATTTGTGTGTGTATTTATTTGTGTGTCCCAGGGCCCCTTCAGAGGCTCTTGTCCCCAGCCCAGCGATTCAGGCGCAGCGCAGCCTTGGCACCGCGAGG